TTCTCATTCTCTTAGCTCCCTCCGCCCTCTTCCAATTGTCTCAATTTGCTCAGTGGACTGTGACCATTTCCCCTTCTCCAGGGGACAATGTTTGTCTCTTTTAGGGTCATCCTTGTTTACTAGTTTCTCTGGCAGTGTGGATTATAGGCTGGTAATCCTTTACTCTATGTCTAAAATCCACATGTGAGTGAGTACTTACCATGTTTGTCTTTTTGTGATTGGGTTACCTCACTCAGAATGGTTTCTTCGAGTTCCATCCATTTTCCTGCAAATTTCAAGATTCCATTGTTTTTTGCTGCTGAATAGTACTCCATTGTGGAAATGTACCACATTTTCTCTATCCATTCTTCGGTTGAGGGGCATCTAGGCTGCGTGCAGTTTCTGGTTATTACAAATAATGCTGCTGTGAACATCATTGAACAGATGTCTTTGTTGTATGAATGCTTCTTTTGGGTATATGCCTAGGAGGGAAATGGCTGGAGCTTGTGGTAGACTGATTCTCATTTTCTTGAGGAGTCGCCATACTGATTTCCAAAGTGGCTGTACAAGTTGGCATTCCCACCAGCTGTGGAGAAGTGTTCCCCTTTTTCATCATCCTCTCCAGCATGAACTGTCATTGGTGTTTTTGATTTTGGCCATTCTGACAGGAGTAAGATGGTATCTCAGAGTTGTTTGGATTTGCATTTTCCTGATGGCTAAGGGTGTTGAACACTTTCTTATGTGTCGTTCAGCCATTTTAGATTACACTATTGAGAATTGTCTATTTAGTTCTGTACCCCACATTTTAATTGGATTGTTTGGTGTTTCAGAGACTAGCTTCTTGAGTTCTTTATAAATTTTGGAGATCAGCCCTCTGTCGGATGTGGAATTGGTGGATATCTTTTCCCAGTCAGTTTGCAGGCTGCCGTTTTGTCTTGCTGACTGTGTCCTTTGCCTTACAAAAGCTTCTCAGTTTCAGGAAGTCCCATTTACCAATTGTTGATCTCAGTGTCTGTGCTACGGATGTTACGTTCAAGAAGCAGTCTCCTGTACCAAGGGTATTTCCCACTTTATCTTCTAATAGGTTCAGTGTGGCTGTGTTTATGTTGAGGACTTTGATCCATTTTGACTGAGGTTTTGTGCATCCAGCAATGCCAGCACCATTTGTTAAAGATGTTCTCTTTGTTCCATCGTATAAAT